CAGGGAGACCAGTCAGGGGGCTATTGCAATAATCCTAATGAGAAATGCTAAGGAAGGCTTTGATCAGGGAGATGGCAGCAGAGCTGGTGAGAAGTACGATAGTTGGATTACTGGATGTATTTCAAGGACAGAGACAATAAGATTTCATGACAGATTGGATGTGGGTGGTGAGCAAGAGTTAAGGATCATTCCAAGGTTTTTGGTCAAAGCAAATAGAAAGATGGAGTTTCCATTATCTAAACGGGCACAGAATTTGAGAGGAACATGTTCAGGGGGCAAACTACGAGTTAGAACTTAAAAAGATACATTCACATCTGTGTTTATTGTACATTATTTATAATAGCCAAGATATGGAAACAACCCAAGTCTTCGTCAATGAACAAGTGGATAAAAATGTTGTGGTACACAATGGAATATTACTCGGCCATAAAAAAAAATAGATCTTACATTTTGTGACAACATGGATAAACCTAGAAGGTATTATACTAAGTGAAATAAGTCAGATACAGAAAGATAAATACAATATGATTTCATTTATATGTGGACTCTAAAGGACAAAATAAATGAACAAACAAAACAGAAACAGACTCAGAGATGGAGAGACCAGGCTGATGGTTACCACATGGGAGGTGGTTAGGGGTCTGGGTGAAAAAGATGAAGGGATTGAAAAGTACAGATTGGTAGTTACAAAATAGTCACAGCAATGTAAATACAAAATAGTCACAGGGATGTAAAATTACAATAATATTGTAATAACTATATATGGTAGCCAACTGGGTACTTGAATTATCAGGGTATCACTTTGTATATTATGTAATCGTCTAGTTACTATGCTATAGACCTGAAATGAATATAAAATAATATTGAATATCAATTGTAATTGCAAAATAAAATTTAAAAAAAGAGAAGACTAGGAGTTAAATTTTGGATGGATTGTGATCAGAGAGTGGGATATTGATGTTCAAAACTTCTGAAGTGGTACCATTCTGAGTAACCATAAGACCCAGGGAATGACCCTCGGGATGGGTGTCTGAAAGTGGAATAAAGTGAAGTCATTATATTTAAACAATTTAGAACTCTGAAGGTTGAAAGGTTAATGAAATCTCCTAGGATGGTTTACTAGGATGGTGGCCCAGGCAGGAGAGGAAGGAGGAGGGCCAGGCTGCTGTTGCCCTTATGATACAAAGTTTTAATATAAATGACTAGCCAGGTTACACAAATATTAGTGTGAGGTGTACAGAATATGAATTGGATTCAGGTTTTGAACCTAATAGATTAGAAATAAGCAAGATAGAAAAATGATCAGTTACTGAAACATACCAGACAGCATTACAATAAAGCTGTTTAGAACATTTCCAGATGAGAGATTTATAATATTACAGTAGCACAGATCAAAAACAGTAGATTTTGAAAAAGAAATGCAAAGAATCTTTATAATTCTTTATTGCTTTATTACAATGCTTTTTGGAAATACATTCATATTTGGTTTTAGATATACCTAAAACTCAATGATACCATTTATATCAACTCATGTAGCATTTTAGAAAGCATGGCCCTGTGACATGTTAGGAAAGTTTTCTAATAGTAGCAGCAAGCCAAGAATTACCCTCTACCCCATTTGCAGGCCGTGTTTCCAAACTCAGTCCTTACCCACTGTTAAAAAGAAACAATAGCATGACCTGTCAGTCCTCCGTAACTCTGAGAATAATAAAACTCTAAGTTCAGAAACCAATATTTGATAAAGATTTTTAAAACATCATACTTATACCCTTGTGGATGTCACTTATGCATCTGAATTCATTATAGACTATTGAGATGATAATCCAAATTCATGCAAGCTCTGCAGATGCAGGTGGGTATATTTCTCTTATATAGTATTGAGAACTTACTTGCAAAGAAAAAATAAAGAAAGCCCTTGCTTTATATTGCCAATCAATAAATAAAGGAAAACGATGAGATCACTATGTAAGCCTTTAAAAAAAAAACCACCATGTTTTTGACTGCCAGTGACACAGCCCAAACCTTTATCTCTTTGCAAATGTGACACAAATAATCTATTTGTGACTCATTTTTTACAATTAAGTATATATTTAGATCTTTTTCCTTTGTGGAAATTATGGGTTTGTGGTCGATTAAAATATTTAGCACATGTAGTTTCTTCTTTAGTTTAATAGAAAAATATGAATGACATTGCTGGTTGAATTCCTATCAAAAACATTCCCCAGACATACATAGTTCATCTACTGAATTGGAGATGATTCACTTTTTAGTGACTTTTCAGGTGTTAACTTGGCCAAATAAAATAGATAAATCATTTTCCTTTCATTTTTTTTCTGAGGTAAATTCTCAGTAAAATTTTTTTACTATGAAATATACATATATGTCTATAAAATGTCCACTTAAAAGATGGATTTGCATCAAATTCTGAGATGTGAATTCTATGTAATATATGTTTTGTCAAAAACAACTAAATTGAGTTCCTCCTAAGTCAGGAAGGGGAGGAGTTCATAAAGTATGAAATCAGGATTTCATACAGTACTGAATTAAACAAAAGAAGATCTAATTGTACAGTGGTGTTCAAATAAAATGGGTCCAGAGAAGAAAGAAGAAAGAAACCTACCTGTTAGTGACATAGACCACACAGATGCAAGGCTGTGAAACCCGGAATGTTGCTGAGTGAGGAGGTCATTGTCAGATGTTTATCGCTCATGCCCAGGACCTTGTAGGTGGCCATGGGGAAGAATGGCATCGGTTACTGGTCATGCAGGAGCTCACCCAGTGGTAATACCACTGCCCAAGCTTCTGACTGCACTGAGTGGCCCATCCCAGCTCAGCAGTGCTCTCCTTTCTGAATCAGTGTCAGCACTGGTCTCGCAGATGTATTATTCTTCTTAACAAATGTTTTGCAGAGCTGCTGGTTAGCATTGTTCTCAGTTCGGTAGTCAATATTCACCACATAGCCTCCTTCTTAGGGGAAGAGAAAGAATCTAGGAAAGGTTAGTCTCCATGAGTTCATTTGAAGACATGGGGCTGAGGTTGTTAGGGCTAGATCTTAAATTTGATACAGGAGACTTAAGGCCAACAAATTAAAAATGTTCTTTACACATGCAGCTTTCTTGTTAAGTGATGATGGTGGTACTTTGTGAAAATAAGTCTGAAATTAATGTACAGGAGGTATTAGGACAGGACAGAGGTATTTACAGAGAGCTAAAGCTTACACTAAAAATTTACAAGTTAGTATTTTTGTATCGCCTTGGAGTTTTCAAAGAGTTTTGGCACATGCCTCATTTGATCTTTGCAATAATCTGTGCAGTGTATATGAAAGGTGATATTATCTTCATTTCACACACGAGGAGACAGGATCCTAGGGGTAGTTAAGTGACTTGCCCAAAGTCACACAGCTTTGAAAGACAGAGCCAGAATTCCCATTCCAAACCTGACTCCAGTTCCATTGCTCCTAAAATGATTGCTATCTTGGATAGACATGGGAGCAGGAATGGAGAGTGAGGGCAAATCAAGAGAGATTTTGAAAGAACAAGTGAAAGAAATTGGCAATTGACTGGGTATGGGTGATAAACAACCAGGAGAAAGAAAGGTGATTCCTAGGTTTCTAAAGCCTGGAAGATTGTGAGACTAGTAATATCATCAGCTAATGTTGACAACATGCTTACTACATGCCAGGTCCTATGCCACACACTTTGCTGTATTGCCTCATTAACTCCTCACAGCTCTGAGAGGAAGGGGTATTATTATCCCCATTTTACAAGGGGAATACATAAAAGGGTTTTTCACTTTAGAAGAGGAAAAAATTCAAGGTTTTTGCCCTAAGACAAGGGAAAGTTCAACTGGACGCGGGCTTACGGTGACCACACTTGGGGCCAGCATCCTGGGACAGTGCTTTGGTGTCCTTACATGTATGGATGTAATTATGCTCCCAGCCACTAAGTAATCAAGCTGGGCTAGTGGTGGTTATGATGTTTGCAAATCCACCAGTAGCTAACAGTTTAATGCCTCCTCGATATTTTGCCTGCCATTAAAAGAGCCTGCATTAAGCAGATGGTTTTACCTTGGCTCTGGACTTTAAGGTGGTCAGCCAGGTAATCCAGGTTTATAGATAGCAATGCTTTCCTCATCAGATATTATTAAAAATAAAAATATAACTAAGTATAATTATCATATGGCTTGGTATAAATATTGCATTTATATAAAATACACTATTTAGACCAAAATTCTTAAATACAATTACATTCTTCCTTAATTGTTACTAGTTGCTTTTACTTCTCAGTTGTTATCCATAACAAAAAGCAGACAAATAAAAAGAAACAGCGTAAGCCTGGATTTCCCCTAAGGTTAACCAGTCCACACATATCTACCTTGTCCTGAGCCTCTGTTGTCATCCTGGGTTTGTCTGAGACTGTAACTGTCCACACCTACCTTTAATCTTTGAACTGCTCTGTAACTTTATCTAAAACCCCTCATGAAAAGACCCTTGCCATATTTTCTGCTTTCAAATTCCTGATTCCCCTTTCTCTCTTGGTCAGATAAAGAGGACAGTTTACTTACCAAATAAATTAACAGAGTATGAAAAAGAAAATTCCCAATCCTCTTCCCAAATAGTAGTTTACAGCTCAATTTCTAAAGACTTCAAACTGTATCTCTTTAGGTATCTACCTGATACTTATTTATTCACTAGGCTACAAATGGCAGTCTCTTTGCAACCATAAACTTCATGAAAAACTTGAAAAACTCCTAGCTCTTGTAAGAGTGGGCCTTCTTTTCAAAGTCTTGGAGTTATACAAGCAAGAAGTGCTAGAATTTATTTCTCTTTGAAAATAAATTTAAATAAACCATAAAAATATTTTACAGGGCTATAAAGTGGTTTCCTCCCAGTGACCCTTCACTCTGAGGCTGTGCTGGAGATGATGCTGGTGGGGAAGCTCTGTCCACTCCCAGGGCGAGGGGTCATGACCGTAAGTGTCTTTTTTCCTGACTCCCTCTAGGATTGTGAAAATGTCCAGTCCCAATCTGAATATTGTGACCTTACTGGGCAGTTCTCTGACTTACAGTAGTGCTTACCTCTTTGGGATTCGGGATCGAGATGCTTCGGGGGGAAGCTCAATGGAAACTCTCATTCAGGTAGGTGAAGCCTTAGATTTTACTCTAAGTACAATGCCAAAGTTTTGATCATTTTTAAGTCAGCTACTCCTGTGGGTAATGGTTACCTTTGTCCTTGGCGTGGGCACTTTCAGAGGCAATCCCTAGAATGCTTCATCAGTGAAGTCCAGTGTCTGCCCCACCCCCTGTGCGGACTGAAGCTCTGTTGTTCAGAATGTGTGCAGAATAACAATGGTTCCTCTCATGCCTCTTGCTTCTTTCCACCTGTAGGTAAGACTGTCCATGCTGTGCATTGGGACCTCCCTTGTGTTCGGACCCATTCTGGGGAAGAGCTGGCGACTGTACAAGGTGTTTACCCAGAGGGTCCCAGACAAGAGAGTGGTGAGTAAGCAGCAAGTATCTGCTGCTTGACTGCAGATGGCAGCTTCACTATTGGTTAGAAGCTGGAGAAGCTTTGCCAGATTTCTGGGTCTCATCCATTTACAGCAGTCTGAAGTCTCTGCTCCTCACTTCAAACCTTGGAGTCATGTGGCCTTCTAAGTCTCCAAGCTGTGCATCGGTGCTATTGGAGAGATAGGCCTTTGAACATAGGTTCTGCTGCATATGCACCCCAGGCCCTGCTACTGCTATGGGAATGTGAGCTGGCCACTATGTGGCACCAGTGTGAATTGCCCAGAGAAACTGTTGCTTGGCACAGGTGTGAGTTGAAAGTGAAAGGAGGGAGAGTAGAAGCTCTAGCAAGTGTAAACAGTTATTTTGTCAGTGGAGCTCAGTTCTTTTCTATGTAGGAGGCTACTCTCTGCACTAAGAACGATGGGCCTGGAGCAGTGAGCAAGGGAGAGGACACCCATTCAGCAGGTGGAATCAACCCTACAAGCTATGTGGCAGAAGATCACCCACATGTCCCTGTTATCAGATGTCATCCTAACCACATTCCCCCCTTTTTATCAGGGCCCCTGGTAGAACTGCCCAAACCTCAAAATCTAACCATCAAACTCTTTGTCTATAGGCTCAGTCCAGATCCAGTATGTCTGTCAGTGGGAGTTTACTTCTCTGGAATGGTGCTTTTTGTTTTTTGTTTTTTTAGCAAGTGTTATTGAATAATCATGAACATTTTCAAAAGCTCAGCTGTGTGTAAACATACGTTTGAAGATGACCTAAAGGATAAGAAGTTTATTCATCCTTCTAGAACACCGATTTCCTTTTTTAAAAATAGCTTTATTGAGGCATAGCTGACATGCTATGAACTGCACATATTCAAAGTATAAGATTTCATAAATTTTGACATATGTGTACATTCATTAAACCTGTTGTGTAATCCACAAAAGCTTCCACATACACCTTTTTCTCCCTCTCTTGTCCAGTCCTTACATCCTCTGTCCCTGTGCCAGGGCAACCTTTGATCTGCTTTCTGTTACTGTAGATGAATATGCATGTTCTAAAATTTTATAGAATGGAATTATACAGTATATACTTTTTTTGTCTGTCTTCTTTTACTTGGCATTATTATTTTGAAATTCATCCATACTGTTGTGTGCATCGGTGGTTCTTTCCTTGTTATTGCTAAATGATATTCCAATGTGGAGGCACACTTGTTTTTTTATCCATTCATCTATTGATGGAAGTTTGGGTTTGTTTCCAGTTTGGGGCTATTAAAAATAAAACTGCTATGAATATATTCATATACAAGTCTTTACGTAGACATATACTTTCAGTTCTCTTGGCTAAAAACCCAAGAGTAGAATGGTCAGGGCATATGGTAGGTGTATGTTTAACTTTTTAAGAAATTGCCTAACTGTTTTCCAGATTGATTGTACCATATTACATTCTCACCAGCAAAATCTTAGAGTCCCTTTCCTCCACATCCTCACCAACATTTGACTTGGTTGGTCTTTTTTTATTTTAGCCATACTAATAGGTGTGTATAATAGTATCTCACTGTGATTTAATTTGCATTTCCCTAATGCAATGTTGAGGTCTTTTCGCATGTATACAGAGTGGAGCAAAAGTTGGTTCACAGTTGTTCATATGGCAAATAATGTAATAATTAAGAAATAGTAATACAAGAATAAACTCTGTTTTGCATACTCACAACTGTAAACCTACTTTTACCACACCTTGTATATCTTATTTGGTGAAGTACCTGCTCATGTGTCACACATTTTTAAGTTTAGTTGTTTACTAGTGAGTTTTGATTATTCATTTTTTTAATTCTAGATACAAGTCCTTTATCAGATGTATGATTTGCAAAGATTTTCTTCCTGTTTGTGGCTTCTCTTTTTATTCCCTGAAGTGTCTTTCAAAAAGATGTTTCTTATTTTGAAGTTCACTTTATTTAATTTTTTTAATTGATATGTTTTTGACATCAGTAACTTTTGCCTAACCCAAGGTCCCAAAAGGTTTTCTCCTGTGTTCTAGAAGTTTTAAGAGTTTAGTTTCCACAGTTAGCTTATGGTCCATTTTTGAGTTAATTTTGAAATATGGTATTCTGTATGTACCAAAGTTCATTCGTTTACATATAGATATCCGATTGTTCCAGCAAGAATTCTTGAAAAGACTGTCCTTTCTTCACTGAGTTAACTTTGTACCTTTGTTGAAAATAATTTGTCCATCGTTGAGTAGGTCCATTTCTGAATTGTACTCTGTCTCATTGATGTAGTTTATTTTGACACAAATTCCATATTATCTTGATTACTGTAACTTTCTATTAAATCTTGAATCAGGGAAATGTTAGTTCTCCAACTTTGTTCTTCTCTTTCAATGTTGCTTTGGCTATTCTAAGTCCATTGAATTTTCATGTGGATTTTCATATGAGTTTGCAAATTTCTGCAAAAATTCTACTGGGATTTTGATTGAGAGTGTGTTGAATTTATAGACCAAATTGTAGAGAGTTGACTTCTTAACTATATTGTGTCTTTTAACCCATGAACACTGTATATTTCTCCACTTATTTAGATCTTTAATTTCTCTCAGCAATTTTTTGTACTTTTCAGTGAAAGTCTTTCACATCTTTTCTTATATTTATTCCTAAGTATTCTATATTTTATGCTACTATACATGTTACTATTTTTTGTTTAGCTTTCCAATTTTTTGTTGCTAATAAGTAGAAATACAATTGATTTTTGTATGCTGATCTTGTTTGCAGAAAACCTTACCTACTTATTAATTCTAGTTAGTAGCTTTTTTTAAGAATCCATCAGATTTTCTACATGGATTATCATATCATCTGTGAAAAGGACAGTTTCTGTCCAATCTCTTGTATGATGATGGCACTGGCTAGAAATAGTAAAATGTTCGATGGAAGTCCTGGGAGCAGACATTCTTGAGTTGTTCTTCATTTCATGGGGAAGACGTTGAGTCTTTCAAAACTAAATATGATGTTAGCTGTAGAGTCATTGTAGATGCCTTTTATTTAGTTGAGGAAGCTCCATTCTATTCCTATTTTGCCAAGAGTTTTTATTAAGAATTGATGTTGGATTTTGTAAATGCATTTTTTGTGTCTATTGACTTGATTATATGTGTTTTTCTGTTTTAGTTGTTCATGTGTTGGATTACATTAAATGATTTTAGGATCATAAACCAACCTTGAATTCCTGAGACAAACTCCCCTTGATCATGATGTATTATGCTCTTCTTGCATTGTTTGATTTATTTTGTTTATAATGTATGTACTATGTTCATAAGGGATATTATCCTATAATTTTTTTTCTTGAAAAATCTTTCTCTGGCTTTGGTACCACCATAATGCCAGCATTTTAGGATTGATTGGGAAGTATTCCCTTCTCTTCAGTTTCTGGAACAATTTGTGTGTAATTTGCATTCACCTAGTATAAGTACTTTACAATAGTATGCTTCCATTTCTCCCCTTCTCAATTTTTGTGTTATTGTTTTTACTTTGACATATGTAAGCCACATACAATTGCATTTTTTAATTAGTTATCTTTTAAAGATATTTTAAAAATAAAAACCAGTCACATATTTTTCCATGAAGTTAACATTTCCGGAGTTCTTACTCTTCTTGGACAGGATTCTTCTGATATTATATTCCTTTTTCCTGAAGGATATCGCACATTCTCATGTGAGTATGCTAGTGCTGAATTTTTTAGCTTTTATCAGAAAAAGTCTTTATCCTACCTTTGTTTTAGAAAGGTGTTTTTTGCTGGACATAGAATTTTAGGTTGAGGCTTTCTTTTTTACTTATAATACTTTAAAGATTTTTCTCCACTGTTTTCTCACTTGGTCATGTATCTCATGAGATATCTGATGTCTTCCTTATCTTTGTTTCTCTATGCATAATGTATCTTGGTTTCCTTATTGCTTCAAACTGCTCTATATCACTGGTTTTGAGCAGTTTGAGATTAAGCAACCAATTTGTCTTTATGTTAAAAACACCATGTATCATGTAGGTGGTTGTGCTTTTTTATTTCCATTGGTTGACAAAAACTCAGACCCATGTGTCTGCCCAATTCATGAGTGTTAGGTACTCTACTCACCTGAGCCTTCATCATAATTCTCTTTATTCCCTCTTTTCCTTAATGTTTTTCAATTTTTCATCCCATTGAAGGATTTTTTTTTTAATTTTATTTTTATAGTCAAAAAAGTAGCACCTATTTTTGTATGAAGTCCAGTGATTCATACAACTATAAAGAAAGTGTTAGCAATCCCTCCTTCAGCGCCCTCAGCTCTCAATCCCATTCTCCAGGTAATTGGTTGTTAATACTTTTATGTGAAAATATATAAATATCTAGAAATAATGGAGTACTTATTTTATAAAACCCTTCATTTCTCTTTGTGGAAAAAGGCAGGATATGGAAAATATAAACAAATGGAAATGTTTAATGGGGATGATGATATTGACAATGAAATCATTGTAAATATTTAGTATCTCTTTCACCTTTGATGTCTGGATTTGAAGATTTTTGTGAGAGCTAACCCTGGAGCCTATAGCTCAGAACATGTAGGGCGCTCTAGTCCTTGTATAGCCATCAAGCTAAGGAAAATTATGACCTTGATTCTTTTTCAGATAATCAAAGATCTGCAGCTCCTGGGATTGGTGGCAGCCCTGGTGATAGCTGATGTGATTCTGCTCATGACGTGGGTATTGACTGATCCCATCCAGTGCCTCCAGATTCTTGGTGTCAGTATGACGGTGAGGAGCCCAGTTCCTGGGGAATTCAGTTCCTGAACTGGGGGAACTGGCTTCTGTGGGCACCCAGGGGTTGTTCTCCCAATAGCACTCACTGTGTGGGCATCCTCCAACATGGAGATAAGTGACCCAAGGAGGGAGAGTCAGGTCAGGAGCTGCGGCTGCTGTGAAGACCTTGACCCTTTTCTGCAAGGTGCACCACCACTCCCACTGCTCCTCCCGCCCCAGGTATCCTCCACCTGCATCCACTGCCATGTCAACACACTGGAATCTGCCAGGCAGTTGTCTCTGCTTCCACATTATTAATAATGAGAACTTTCAACAACTGGAAGTTGCCTTCCCCTAATTGTTCGAGGTAAAAGTAGTATTTTGAGGTCATCTTTGGTGTCAGTCAACCCTGGTTCAAAACCAGGCTCTACCACTTTCTAGCCATGTGACCTTAGGAAACTCATTTAACCTCTCTAAGTTTTTATGTCCTCATATGGAAGCATAGCAAAATGAAGGTAATAATGCCACCTGTTTCTTAGGGCTTTGGTTATAAGTAAGTAAAAAGAATGCAGGTAAAAAAGTCAACTGTGCCTGGTACATAGTGTTCAATTAATAGGAAATACTACGTCTCCAGCCTCAAAAGGGGCTGAGAAATGCAGTGGAATCTTGACATTGCAGATTTAATATTTAAAGTTTTAACTGTTAACAAACAGCAGGAACATGACGTGAAATTTGTAATTTGTCATTTTACTCATGCAGCAATGTGAATCATCGTGGTAGCCAAGCACACAGCAGAGGGTAAGCCCTGCTGCCACCAAGCATCCACATGTCAGTCCAACTTTATCGTCTTTTCCTCCAGTTAATAGTCACTCATATATCTAATGGTGCCAACTAAATTTTATAGCTTTTACACATCAAGGGGGAAATATTTATACTGTAGAGGAGCTCATGCTCAAGGATCTTTGCAGGGATCTGCTGTGTGTTCCTGGTAACTGTGGGAGCCCTCAGTCCTTACCCTGTGTCTCTCCTAGGTGACAGGCAGAGAAGTGTCCTGCTCACTGACCAGCACACACTTCTGCGCTTCCCGGTACTCTGATGTCTGGATTGCTCTCGTTTTGGGATGCAAGGTTGGTAAACACATTTCCTTGGGACACAGTCTGTCTGTCACCAACAAAATATATAAAGAAGGAATATATGAGGTAATTCCAGCAAAGGATCTTGAAATCAGGGAAGACCTCTGTTGATACGTAAATCTAAAAGCCACCCTTATTATTTCTCTGCTTTTGTGGGGAATCACCTTTTCAACTCTTGGCACGCCCTCATTTTGTTCTCCCCCAAATCATGTGAAATTTGCCTACTGTTTCTCCCATCTCTTGATCTGGTTTTTTTTAATTGATTTGGCAGTATCAGTTTTCTTCCCATTTAAATCCCTGCAAGGAAGATTTGTGCCAAGATATCTTGCTGCCATTCACCCACCTAACTTTCTCACTGTGATTGGAAGCGGAGCTGGCCCTAAGATAGATTACAACATTCATGATGTCCTTTGAGTGATTCCAGCTGCCTCAGGCGTCTTCCGCACTGAATCCCCCATCATTAGGCTCATTGACTCTGTTAGATGGCAGAAGCAAGATCTCATTTCCAGGGGGTACAGGATACCTACACAGGGCACTAAGGGAGGTCCTTAGAATAAACTTCCTATTAGCTGGTTTTCAGCTCAGAGAGACAGAATCTGGCTCTGGGGAGCCCAGGGCAGGCCTGTTTCAATGAATGAGGCAAGCTGCCTGTCGGTTATCAGGGCAGAGAGACCTGGTCGACTGCTGACAGAGTAGGCATTTTACGAGAAATACATTGTCTCCAAAGCTAAACTTAAAGTTCCAGGAGCCCCCAGCTGAGCCTTTCCACTGCCCACTACCCCATACTTCTCAGTAGTGATGGCAAATTACATGTAAGTATAAGTGATTCACTCAAACATGAATCATAGATGTAGAGGAGCTTTATTAATACCTTGTTCCCAATGGGCAAGAATTTTAATGGCATTAAAAATTTTCAATAGAATCAGATGTCAACATTTCACAATCATAGAATTAATTTCATTCACCTTTGATTAAATTACCAAAAATCCTACGTTGCCAAATGCCACCTGATGGCATCAGTTACCCAAAAGTCAGGCCCCTCTGGTCTCCTGACTTGTGTTTCTTCTAACCACGGAAGGTCTCAGGGTGACATGTCAGGCCCAACTTGGGACACTGGACATTGGGGGCACCCAGAAGGCATCTCTGCCATGATGACTCTTTCAATTTAGGCAGTCAGTCCTCCCAAAAATTATCAATAGGGCTGTCCCTGCCAGTGGAGCTGGTCAAGTAGGGGATTTCAGGGTCACTGGCAGATGTCCTCTGATACCTGACCTTATTTACATTGTTAGTTCTCCCTCTGAATCCCCGTGGTTCCCACCCAGCCTCGTCCCCATGGCCTCTTCAGATTCAGTTATAAAACATAAACATTTGTGTCTTGCCTTCATTCTTCCTATCAGACTGAGCTCCTTGAAAGGCAGGACCATGATTTATTTCTCTTTGTAGCACTGTTTCCTGCCCTGAACCTAGAATGACACTGGGCATATAGTCAAGGGAACATATGTTGGATCTATATTTTACACATTATTGATTAAAGCTTTGATTTCTGTTTAAATGCAACTTTTTAAGGTGCTGTGAGTCATTTTTCTCCTTAGTACAAATGAAAAATCTGAGAGCAGGTTTATGTTCTTGGAGAAAAGGAAAGCATAGCGCCCTGGATTCCTGGTGGTAGGAGCCAGGAATGTCACCAAGAGGGCGAAGGGTATAGATGGAGCATTTGCTGCCTGTGCCTGCCCCACAGGCCCGTCTAGGTCCCAGCCTGCCTTTGTTCTCCTCTGTTTCCACTCTTCATCTCCCATAAACACCCCCTGGCACAGAGCCACTGCTAGCCTATAGAGATCCTTTGTGTAAATTAGAAAGAGGCACCCCTTCTGGGCAGATGCAGTCTTGCAGGTGCAGGGCTTGGCAAGCAGATGGTGCCTCTGGGAAAATTAGAAAAAAGAGCCCCTTCCTCAGAGCATTGCTCCTGCTGGCAGCGCTTGGTTTGACAAGCAGACCACAGGGCTATTTCAGTTTCCACGTGGCCCTCAGCTCCATGCAGTGGAAAACCACATAGCAGACATGGCAGCGCTCGCCACCAGAAGCATGATGCGCCCACTGCCCTGCCAGTACCCACAACCCTTTCTGTCAGGCTCCCACCCACCCATACCATCCTGTCCTATGCCTCATCCCAGCAGAGTCCTGTCTTGCCAACCTCTGATAAACTACTTCTCAGTACAGAAGAGGAAAATAACATTTATTAAGCACCTGCTAGGTATAAGGGGCTGCCCGAAGGGTCCTTGCATGTCTGAGTAAATCGTCACAGCAACACTTTAAGGTAGGTATTATTTTCCTTATTTTAAATGGTCCCCTGCACCATCCTGTTCTATGATCCCAAGTTTGTTATTCCACTTCCCTGAGCCTCTGGTTCTCCCCTCCGCCTCCAGGGTCTGCTGCTGCTGTACGGTGCTTACCTGGCTGGCCTGACTGACCACGTCAGCTCTCCTCCTGTGAATCAGTCTTTAACCATCATGGTTGGGGTCAACCTTGTGGTGCTGGCTGCTGGGCTTCTTTTTGTGGTCACCAGATACTTGCACTCCTGGCCAAACCTGGTCTTTGGCCTCACATCTGGAGGAATCTTTGTTTGCACAACCACCATCAACTGTCTCATCTTCATTCCCCAGGTATGCTCTAGGGAGAATTTGGCCAGGCCAGTTCTCCAGAGGATTTACTGGACATGATAAATTGCTCAGTGTTTTCTATCAAGACTTTGGGGTACCATTTATTGCAGAGTCAGAAGGAACGCCAGTTCCTGGTGAGCTGGCTCTTCTGTTCTTCCCACCTCAATCTTCTGAAGGAAGACAGCTCTGCTGCCAGTCATCTAGGAGGGCAGCCCAGAGTGGCTGAGCCATAGCAGCTGCCCATTTCCACCCTGGCAGTGGACTCGCCGACCTACTTTTCCACTAATCTCCAGTCCCTTCCTCATCTTAATAATATCATTCCTTTTTTAGCCTGGGAATGAAGAGCCTTTCCTTCTTTCCTGTCTAGGATTCCTTTTCTTTTTACAATAAAGAGAAATTAAAATTAAGTAAAAATGTGTTTCATATTATGAGGATTAAAGAAAAAAATCAAACAAGGGAGGAAGATAGAAACAGAAATGTCAAGAAAGGAAAGAGGGAAAAAGGGAGTTGGAGGGAAGGCAAAGGCATCCATAGGCTCTGAAAGGAAAGTGATGTGAAATTATTCATATTGGGCCCAAGGCTACCACTGAGCCACATGCATCTGAATTAATGAACTTGGCATTAGGCACTTTTCCCATTTCCCTTCTAGTTCTCTTTTTCTTCTCCTGAGTCCTCCTTCATCCCACTACTCCCTCAACACCCCATTCTGGTTCCAATTGCAGCTTCTCGTTGACTATGAATGACTTTGCCATGACACCACTGACTGATAAAATGGCTGATGGAGGGTTATGAGGTATTTTCAAAGGGAAGAGTGGAGTTTGGGCCATGATGGTGTGACACACGGTTAGGCCTTTTACTCTTCTTCCTTTTCATGAATTCTCGTGCAAACACTCAACAGAATAAACAAATATGAAAATATCTGTAGCAGCAGTACTATAAACCAAGGAGGGTATTGTCTCTATGCCAGAAACTAGAGAAATTTTTGCTGAATCTTAATGTTGTAAGAACTGGATTGAAGGGAGCCACTGAGAGCCGAATGGAATGTAACAGAAAAGGGCTATGAAGACCAAGGGCTGTTCTTCTCTGGGAGATGGGGAAAAGGGAGTGGGGAGGGGCCTTTTGGGAAGTCCACCCATTAGACCTTGTGGCCAACGTTGTTGATTGGTAACCCATCTATCCATTGCCAAACCCTTTCTTCCTTACTCATTTCCACTGTCTAGTCTGAAAGAGCTAACCACTTGTTTTTCCAGCCTCCCTTATAGCTAGAGGTGCCCATGTGACAAAGTTGAACACTAAAGGTTTTTTGAGAGGCTTCTGAGAAAGTTTTTGTTTTCCTGAAAAAAACTATGGGTATGACTGGTATCACCTCTTCCACCTCCTTTCTACCTTAAATGTTTGTTATATGGCAGCCATCTTGTGATGATGTGGGAAACACCAAAAGAACATATTTACTGTAATACACTGAGAAATTACAGCCTTTCCCATGTAAGACTGTAAATTCAGGAGCCTATGAAGAGACTCTACAGTTCATAAGAAGAGGTCCACAAATTTCTGGAGATTTGGAGACGCTTCCTTCCTCTGAAGTAAAGTAGAAGTTTATTGAAGATATCAGATTTGTCTTGTCAATAGGATTTTAAGAATATTGCCTCTCTTCAACCAAAGCAAACCAGCAAGAGAAGGACATAATCTTAGATAATGAAGTATTAAATAAGGGTGGAAAATGTTGTATTAAATTCAACACCCCAGTAGAAACATTGAATAGGAAATTGGACATGGAAAAATATTGAATTAGTTAATTAATTTAAGGAAACAGAACATAAGGAGACAGTTAAAAAATGAGAGACTAGATAAGAAGATATGGAGAACAGATCTAGGGATACAAGATTTAGAGATAATAGGAATCTCTGAAAGATAAAAATAATTTAGGGCAGAAGTAATCACCAAGGAAAGCCTTCCTGATCTAAAACAAGACCTCTATCTGAAAATCAAGTGAATTAGCAACCTTCCTGATGTGGCTCTACTTATCTTATATCTCCTCTTTGAACACTCACATCTGTCCCTTTTGCATCCTAAATCTCAGACACGAGTTCCAATCTCTTTTGAATCCTCAGCACTTAGGGCAATAGTGATATCTAGGTACACTCTCATCTGCACATAGACATACAATTGCAGAATGAAGTTCAGCTTGAAATCTGACTTCCAGGTTTGAACTAAGCAACAAGCACTCGATTTGTTAAAGTGAGTGAAGCCCTGGCCAGGTGGTTCAGTTGGTTGGCGCATTGCCCCCATACACCAAAAAGTTGTGGGTTCAATTCTGGGTCAGGGCACATACATAGGTTGTGGGTTCGATTCCTGGTTGGGTCATGGATGAGAGGCAACCAATCAATGTTTCTCTCTTTCTCTTCTTTCCTCTCTTTCTAAAATCAATAAACATATCCTTGTATGAGGATTAAAAACATGTATATATATAAAGTGAGAGTGGAAGTGGAATTATGGGATACAGGAACAGGATGGATGGACACTGTTCCCCATTTTTCCTTCCAGCTGTCTTGAGTTTCCTTTCTCTTTATCTTTCCTCATCTGTTTTCTTTCTCATGCCTTTTCTCCTCTTGAACTGACCAAGATCTAAAACTTTAGAAGTATGTTTTTAGTCCACTGTATTTTAGGTTTAGGAAGTAAATGCTTGCAAAAATCTATAACTATACAATATGTCTGGTTTTTGTGCACCCTTGAACTTACTTTGCCCTCTGGCTCAATGGCCTTTGGTAGAAGAGTCTCCCTGTGAGAGCTGCACTGTGTATTCCCAGGAGAGAAAAACGGCTGAGCAAATTTAGGAGAGTATCTGAGGAGAGCTGCATGGGGAGGGAAGAGAGCAGGGAGAGGGTACTTCCTTTTTGCCACGGAGCCTTCAGACTGGGCTGTGTGGGAAGAGTTTATGAAAACAAAGGCACAGGTATTGCAAGGGAAGCTAGGTGGCACTAGAGAGCTGAGTGAGATGAATAAAGAGCAGGTGAACCAAGTAGCATTCTGCAGGGTCTCTCAGGAAATGCCTGAGTGTTTATGCCAAAAGCAGATCATTACCAGCAATGAGCCAGAGTCTGCTTTTGTTGATGGTAACCTGGATGTGAACCATCCCCACACACACCTTCTCCTTTCCTCCCTCCATCTTTGAGGGGCAGATGGGTCCTAAGATAAGACATTGTTTTTTCCTCCAACACCCCAAAGTGTTTCATTTAGTACTTAGGACTGTCTACCCTGCCTTAGAGTTATCTGTCTATGTCTCAGTGACCCTACTAGATAGGTGAGCTTTTTCAAGGAAAACTTTCTTCATCTGTTTATTTATTCATCCATTAACTTATTAACTGTTGGGAACATGCCCCATCACATGGCCCCATCTCTAGATATAGTTGGGAGCAGACATGAAAGGAATTATAATACATGTCTTAAGTGTTTGAGGAAGGCATGTTACATGATGCTGAGGAAGGGGTGTCCCAGCCTGTCCAGGAACTCCATGACACCTTCTCAGAGAATGGGCCCAGTCTTATAGGAGAAGCAAGAGTTCACTGAGCAGATTGGGGGAGAGGTTGGCATTCAGATGGAGGGACAAGAGGCAGAGAGGTGTGTGAGAGAACAGACTATGTTTGGAGCACCACACATCTTTACATTTTTTGAAACACGAATTGAAGAAAGGGGAATGTGGCTGAAGGTTAAGAGATGAGCTTCTCAAGGCCCTAGTAGGTCCTTTTAAAGGCTTGAAATTTAATACCACTGTATTAGTTTCCTGCTATAACAAATTAATTATAACAAATTAGTTGCCGCTATAACAAATTAATACAAACTTAGAGACTTAAAACAATTCAAGTGTATTATCTTATAGTTCTGGGAGTCAGAAATATGAAATGGGTCTCATTTGGCTAAAATCAAGGTGTCGGTATGTCTGCATTTCTTCTGGAGGCTCTAGGGGAGAATCCATTTCCTTGCCTTTCTCAGCTTCTAGAGGCCACCTGCATTCTTTGACTCATGACCTCTCCCTCTACCTTTAGAGCCAGCAGTGCGACATCGTCAAGTCTCTCTCTCTTTCTGACCTCTATTTCCATTGTTGCTTCTCTTTTTCTGACTCTGCCTCCCTCTCACAAGGATTCATGATCACAGTGGGCCCACCAGTATAATCCAGAATAATCTCCCCATCTCAAAATCCTTTACTTAAGCACATTTACAAAATCCCCTTTGCCATGTAAGGTAACATAGTCACAAGTTCCAGGGATTAGGCAGGGAACATATTTGGGAGACTATTATTTAGCCTATTGCACCCACATAGCCCAGAGGCTGAAAACCAAGAATGTGCCTGTCCTTCGGAAGGAATGGTCATGGAGAGAGCCTGAAACTGTGACTTGAGGGTCATTTATTGCCATATTTCAGATACCTCATGGGGTCAAGTCTGAAGGACCACTATCTTCACAAATGGGGAACTATGAGGGAGGGGGCTTTTGTCAAGGCGCACCCTGGCCCACTTAGGATGAGACAGACCCAAAGGCCTGAAAGTGCCCTTGCGCAAGTGTGAGAGGTTCCTCCAGAAGCCCTGCAGAGGGGGCTCAGACCGAGGGTGCTGGGGGAGAGAGGAAAAGCTGTACAACTGAAGAAATGAGGGGGCCTGAGAGGGGGCCAAGATACGGTGACACTTCGAGGGTCAATGCTAGGAACATCCCTGAGCATCTGCTTCATCCTCTCAAGACCACATAGTGACCCTGTGGTGCCCTGCTCCAATAACGCCTGAGTAGGGTGGTAAGCTCAGGGCACCCTAGGCTTTCAAGAAGGGCCTCTACGGGGGAGGCTCCTGGCCTGACACAGCACAGATCACACAGACTCCTGATATCATGAGGGACTCATGCTGAGTCAGCAAATGACCCAAGAGGACTTGGGTGAGATGTGGTATTGCAACTGTTGGGAGGATTTAGAATCCTAACTGAGATTTACCAAATTGGACTTAGTAAATGTTTGAGAGTGAGCAAAGAGGTCCCAGGATTCCCATGAGGCTCCCCACGAGGCTCCCCACAGCCACCAGCATTGTTGCTAGGGTGCCAGAGTGCCCAGTGTACATCACTAGCACTCTTAGTTATGAGAATTCCTAAGGGAAAAACAGAAGCTTCCAGCACTGGGTCCTCCCCTGGCATCCACGTCACTGGCATTCTCCAGGAAGAGAGAGTGTCCCAGAGACTCAGGAGGATGGCCCCCATTTGTAAATATTCTGTGTTCAGTTCCATCCCTGTTAAACTAAACTAGACCATGCACCCACAGATTGTTTCTCAAAACCAGTGTTTCCTGAAAAACCTCCCTGAGGACCCCACAGTTAACAAGGTCTGTCTTTATCAGCTGTGTTGAGGTCATGCGGTGTGGCACAGTGCCCCGGTTACAGCTGTGGTTCTGCTGCTCACTTGCTGCATGGGCCTAGGTAAGTTGTACTCCTTCTGAGTCTCCCCTCCTTTGTCAGGAAAAAAAGATGGTCAGATCGCAGACCTAATGTTCTATCATTTTTATTGATATTTATTGCCATTTGTGATTTTCCATCTGAGCCTTGATTACTGATTTGGGTTAGAAGTCCTCCAGTAAGGAACTGGGTTTTCAATCACTGTAAGCACACCATTACTCAACAAATGAGGATAATTAAGAACAGCTACATATAACTAGAAACAGTTCCACTTGAAACATACAGCGTTTAGATTGCGGAAACTTGTTATAGCTCATAAATTCTGGGTTTAGAATATGGCCCTAGGAGAACAGATCAATCTGGTTTTCTTTGACCAGTTCAGCAATGGGTGGGTTGAGCTAAGATTGTTCTATTTCATCTACCTGTCATCTTCCTTTGGCACTTTAAAGTCTATATAACCTTAGCATTCTCCATGCCTTCTGTCATTACTACCCATGAGCTTTCCAGAGTAAAGTACATTCTGAAAAGAGAATAGTTCATGCGTTTGTATATCACTGTCATTCCTTCGCATTTTTTAGAAAGAATGAGAGAATGTGTTTCTGGGTGTGTAATTAAATAAATAACATGTGTTCTTTTATTTAACAGCTGAAGCAATGGAAGACATTTGAAGAGGAAAACCAAACAATTAGATGCATGGCCAAGTATTTCAGCACTCCCAGCAAAAGCTGCCATACCCAGTATGGTGAGGAACAGAATTGCCACGCTAGAGGAGAGAAAACCTCCATGGAAAGACTCCTCACAGAAGTAAGTGAGATCCCTGCCTGGTGGATTCTTTATAAAGAACTCCAGTTCCAGGCACCAGGGAGCCCCAGGTGTCACATTGCTAATGTTCTTTCTTCTCCTCCCGTTCCCCTACTCCCCTTAGCAGCAGGCATAACCTCAGCATTTGCCCAGGGACTCTCTCATTGCTGATCTCACCCACTTTATTTGTTCATTGAACAGATGTGTGCCAGGCATTGGGCTAAGTGCTGATGCATAAGACAAACATACCCTCATGGGGCTCACAGTCTAATGGAGGAAATAGGTATCGGTCAATAAAATAATGAAGGAAAAAAATCAGGGTGGTATGACAGAAAAATGGGTGGTAAGCACAAGGGAACCTAAGTTAGATCTGTCAGAAAAGACTCTGTGAGCTTGGAGCTGAAGGTTAAGTACAACCTGGCCAGAAAAGAGTGCAGGGAGAGGCCTTCCAAACAGAGGAACAGCATTGTAAAGGCCCTGATTTATAGTGGATGAGAGCTTCTTCTGTATGATGCGTTCTTTCCTTATGTAGAGTAGTGCCCTCATTGACAAGCTCTCCTAGGGCCCCTTACTGTACTTGCAGGTTCTAACTAGAGATCTCAATCATCCCACCAATCCAGAGCGTCAGTACATGTCAAAAATGGGGAGGAGGGCTGAATAGGTCCTCTGAATTCCATAGTAGCACCAAGAGGGGACCGGGGAGCCCCCAGCTCTTATTTCTTCTGTATTTGAGCCCAAGTTGGCACTCCTCCCAGAACTGGGCAGTGTGGTGTGGGCTTGCAGAGAGCACGTGGGAAAGCTTGAGGCCGCCCTGCCTCAGAAAGGAGGCACAAGGCCCAGAAGGATTAGTCAGTATTTTTCACACTAAATGATCGTCCTTTTTTTTTTTTTTTTTTTAAGTACAGAATGTACCTGAATAGGTGCAGTTTGGGAAACCATTTTCCTGTGACCGGAGAGGCACATGGCTGTCATAAGTCCCTGTGTGAGAGGGCCGATTAGCCATCACTGCACTCCCTGTTCATGCCCCTCCGGGCTCCTGCACTGCACCCTCAGCCTGGACCTTTTTCAGAGTCACACTTCTCTATTCCTGTTCTCTTTATGAAGCATTCAGGGCCTTATTTCAAAGCCAGATTTCTCCGCACCTGGCAAGGGAGTAGTGTTGCCTTTGATACTCTGTGAAGTCTTCAAAGAAGCAATTTCCCCCCCACCCCCACCCCCAGCTCAACAGAAGGCCAGAAACTTGGCGAGAACAGCCAGGATGGTTTTCATTCACAATCAGCTAATGTTGGAACAGCCAAGTGGCCTGACTCTTTAGCCTTATGGTAATTTATGACGTGCTTTTTGTACTTCTGCCACACTAACCACCCTGTTTCCCACGCAGTGACTGAATCTGCTCTATCCAAAAAGATTCCTTGAATCTGCAGAGGAAAGGCCCTAATAGGGAGCAGATGTACAGGCAGTAAAAAACTGGCCTAGTCCCAACATCCTACACCTGGTACATCTTTCCCAGAAAAGGCCTGAGAACCGGCAGCCATCCCAGGGCCCTGGAGCAGGCGTAGAGAGGTTCCAGCATCTAAAGCTTCAGCTCTGGCCTTGCCTGGTGGATAACAGAGTATCTCTCCTTCCTCCATATGTGCACAAGCCCATATGGGCCCAGCTTCTCGGTTGCAGCCTCTGACGCCAGCTTCCCTATGATGCAGCCCCCTCAGCCACCCTTACCTTGTCCTGCTCTTACTTTCCCATGGTCTGGGGAGTCCATCTTCTCATTTTTGCCTCCTTTGCTGCTGTACCCAGGGGTTCCCCAGAGGCCGTTTGAGGCAGAACCCATCGCTGACTTCCCAGGTTGTATGAGGCCCGCAGGTAGAACCATCCCAGAAGTTGAAGAACCTTCCTTCTACACTCTGCAGTGGAGGAAACCTACCTGTTATTTTTCTTCCTTGAACCATAGCAACAAGAGAGTGATTCCATTTCTCCTGATGGCCTGTACCTTAGGAAACATACCTGTGGATGTTTTGCTTTCCTAAATGTGCCAAAAGTAATAATTAATAAGCTCATTTAAATGCAGCTGCCATGGTAGGTCAGATTTTGGTCTCTCAGTGGCAATGGCTCACACCACATCTCTAATTAATATGCAGCCATGGTGAAGACAGAGGCCCACTTTTTTCTCTGAGAAATCAGTCACCAGCCAACTTCAAATGGTTGGTCTGCCGGGAGAAGAGTATTCTTCCCAACTCAGTCTTTATCCTGTTTTTCTACACTCAAAGAAATGTGCAGATAAGGCAAAAAAGGCAGCACAGAGAGTGTACTCCCTGGGTAGTTGTCATTAGTTGGTAGCTTCCTCCTAACTCAGTGAGACAATAGAGGCCTCCTGAAGCCAGCCTGACAATGTGCAGGGTGGGCTTCATGAAGAGGGGCTGCTAAGGAGGAAAAGGGTAGGGGTCCCTCCTGGGCAACCAGCATAGTCACCCCTATGGGATGCTCAAAGAGCCATCTGGCACCCCCAGGTATCTTGAAAAGCCTGAGTGAATGTCTCCCAATTACTCATCCCCTCTGCTCCTGGGGGAGTCCTTGAGTCTGCTACGTCTCCCCAGCAACACCCAGACCTTACCGCTCTGCAGGTGAGGAAAAGAGAGAATGGGCAGGTGGGGGCTCAGCTGCGAGTCCCTTCCCCATATTCACCCGTTTCTTACTGGTCTGGGACTCCCCCCTGGTGACAAAAGAAGTAGACTAAACCAAGATGTAACTGGGAGAGCCAACAGTAGAGAAATCGCCTTTCTGCTTATAAATAGGAAGCAGTAGATCTCCTTTGGAGTTGCTGCCAGAAACTTGCTGGACTAGTTTACTTAAGGAACTGCTTTCAGAAAGGGTCACTTCTGGTCAACTCGCCCATCTCACCTTGAGAAGACACCACAGGTTTGGTCCATAGGCAACTTGTATCAGGTATCCTACAGAAGGGAAACATCCTTTTATTTCTAGGACATAATAAATGGATGTCCAAATGCTCCTCCTCAGCTTCTAAAGAGGAGGGCAACAAAGAGGCAGCATTTGGGTATTTGGACAAAGAGTTCCTAGAACTCAATGCTTTGTGTTACCAACTTCTCCAAACCCTTGATCCCAGTTGTCAGTTCCCCATCCTGATCTTTTCCCTGCTCCACTGCCTTTGATCGTCAGAAATTTCAGAGGTGGATACAAGGCCTGAGTTAGGGAAGCAGCTGCTGTTCCCGCAGAGGATACTCAGGACACACCCACCTCCAGGGCTCTTGCCCTACTTCATGCCCATGATCTCAGGACGGACACAACTCTGCAGCTCGCACCTGCCAGGCCTCCTGGGCACAGCCTGTGTATCAACTAACAGACAAGAAACAAGTAGGCAGCTCAATAGCAGAAATGCCCCAGCCTCATTCATCTTCTGGACTCTATTCTAGATCTATTGAAGCAAGCTATCAGAGAGTTGGGCCCAACAATCCTATTTTTTAAAAAAAGTCTTCTCCAATAATTCCGACACTTGCCCATCTTTAGGAGATACCAGTAACTGATAGTGCCACCTGGTAGCTTTCACCTTCCAGCCCCAGGTCCAGCCAAGGCAAGTAATAGCACCAACCTGAGATTCTCATTGGTCCTTCCTGGCTCCAGCCTTATCTCTTTGGCCCAGGAATCTTTACCCTTCTCTCTCTTTTTCCATTTTCTAGTCTGTTTAGCAAGAGGCAAAATGCTTGTTTCCCCATTCAATCATCCCCTTGAGATGTGCTTCGGATTCATCTGTATTTTGCAAAAGCGTGATAAACCAGAGTTGGGCCATTTTTCAGATGTGTGTCTTGCAGAGCAACCTTTCCCTCCCAGTTCTCAGAAGGGTGTGCCCCAGTCACAAGCAGCAAGCTGTGTCTCTTCCAACCTCCTGTCTCACAGACAGTGCCAGAGTGGGGACATAGGGGAGAGATTAAGATCCTACAACAATAAATCATGGTTAACCTTTATCAAACACCATGTGTCAGTTATTGCACTGAGCACTTCATGTGCAACAAGTGTTTTCACTCTGTGTGCATCAAATGTTTTCACTTTGTGGAGGTACCTCCTCAGAGCCTAAGATCACCAGCTAATATGCAGAGGAACTAGGATTTAAACCAAGGTCCCCTGGTGCCACACTTTCTCCCCCATGGGAGATGGTGTGAAAACCCTCAGTGGCACATTTTGTTGATAGTTTTGCTTTTATCTTTCAGAAAAATGCTGTGATTGAAAGCCTGCAGGAACAAGTAAACAACGCCAAAGAGAAGCTAGTGAGGCTGATGTCAGCTGAGTGTGCCTATGACCCCCCAGTGTGGCCTGTCTTGCCTGCCTCCTCCCACAGCAAGGACAGCCAAGCCGCAGCCCCCATGCATGGCCTGGCACCCCCAAGGCATTCAGAATGCCTCTCTGACTCTCAGAATGATACCAGGGCAGCTACCCAGGACTCCCAGACTACCTCAGCGCCCTCCTCAAGTGCACAAAGCCTCTTGGGGCTGGGGAAGGACTCTGGGTCCTCCCCAGGAGAGAAGATGTCTGACTTAAAAGACTTTTCTGATCATTTAAATGTGAGCTACAGTCAGAAGCCACAGGCTGAGCAAAGCCAGGGAACAGAAAGAAGAGACAAGGTACCCACGGCCCCCCACCAGAGTCTCGTGCCAGGTGAAGAAGGCTCTGTTCCTAGGAGACAGGAGCAGCCAGAGGACTCAGGGGAACCCCAAAAGCGGCCAAGGGTCAATTCAGTGATCAGGGAGAAGCTTCAGGAAGTCCTACAAGATCTGGGCCTGGGCCCCGAGGCTCCCCTCCCCGCTTCCCCGTCTTGTCCCCAGCAGCCCTGGAAGAGTAGTGCTGCCCACTGCCCCCCAAAGATGCCCCTCCCCAAGGAGCTGGGCTTTAGTCCACACATGGTGAGGAGAAGGCGGGCTGCGCAGCGGGCTCGCTCACAATTTCCGGGCTCTGTATCCTCATATGTGGGACATCGGGCAAATAAGATAGTATCTGGTACAAAAAGTAAGTTAAATGTACAGAACAGGGACAGTCTCTGCTTGGACCCCCAAACTGCTGATTCGAGGGTACCCTCTTCCAAGAAGCCCTCACTACTCTCATATCCTCAAGGCAAACCAGGAACCCTGAAGGACCGCAAACAATGCCAGCCAGAGCCCAGGGGGGCTGGAAGGAGCCATGTAGCCTTTCCTCACCAGCCTTCTGATTCTGGCCAGGCTCAGTGTCCTGCTGGCCCACCCTTATCCAGAGCCTCACCAGATCTGCCCGAGCAGCAACAGCTGCAGTCCCCGGGGTCCCCAGGCTGTCCTTCCCTTTATTCTCCGTGCAGCTACCTTGACACTGAGTCCAGCAGCTCAGACGAGTTCTTCTGCCACTGCCACCGGCCCTACTGTGAAATCTGCTTCCAGAGCTCTTCTGATTCCAGTGACAGTGGCTCGTCAGACGCCAACCCTGAGCATGCTGGGGGTCTGGCTTCCTGGGAAAAGCTGTGGGCCCGCTCAAAGCCTGTTGTGAACTTCAAAGACGACTTGAAACCCACACTGGTGTGAGACACAGCAGAGCAGGTCTGGGTATAGAGGTCAGTCTTGGACAAGCCGTACAAAGGCCTACAGGAGGAAGGCTAGGCCTGGCCTTCGGGGAACACACCAGCACCCTGCATTGACCAGCCCTTACCATGTTTCACCCATGCTCACTTGAGTACTGTGTAACCTTGAGCCCTTCTTGATCTATAAAAAGAAGGGAGGGTATTTTCTGTCTTGTTACTACCTCACAGCATTCCTGTAAAAGACACCAGTTGAGTGACCACAAAAGTTACTCTATGGATAAAAGGTGCTAAATGAGCACAGAAACTTTTCTGTCCTGGTCAGCCTGTATTCTACCAAACTCTTACTATATACCAGATGATGGCTAGCAGACAGACGGATGGGCAGAATGGAGGGAAAATTTCTGCAGATCCAGAGTTGTGAATTTTGACCCATCAAAGTGGCCTTTTGGTGCAGACCTGCTACAAACATAAGTTTCCTGCATCCTGGGGTACCCCACTCTTGGAAGGGGGTGCAGTTTTGTTCCTGTTAAAGGTTATAAACAGCACCACTCACTGGGTTGCACCTCTGACAAGACCCAGCTCACAGCCACCTCCACAGCACTATTTGGTGTTCATGTTTTGCCACCATCATGGCACCTCATCGTCATCCCTGAGGCAGTCACTCCTCGGCTTGGTGCAGTTTTGGCACCCTGACAATCTCTGTTGTAGTAGGGGAGGCCCTGTTGCTGGTCAAGAGGTACTTTTGATGCCATTGGGGTTACATGACCACTAATAGATACATAAACCTGGAAATAGAATATGGAGAAATAGAAAAGAAGAAATGAGGAAGAAGAAGGCAGGAAAGCAAACAGGTTTGATTATTTACCTTGAGTTTGGAACAGTACTTGGCAGTATCAAATTTCAGTAATTCCTTATGATAACCCTGGGAAGTAGACAGATGGGGAGTATGAGGCTTCGAGAACTGAGGTAACTTTCACAATGTCACACTGCTGGAGAGTGACTGATGTAGGACTTGAGCACAGCTCATGGGACTCCAAGTTCGTCACTTTTCCTGGCAATACAGCTCTTTACTCATTCTTCTGGGAGTGGCAAACAGGTCTTGGCATGCCAGGCAATAAAGCAAGGGTAGTATAGGAAAGCTGAGAAGTGCTCACCTGCAGTTCAGGACACTTGCCCCAAGATAACAAAACTGGGTTCCTCCTTGGGGAGCAGCCCTCACTGCCTCAGGGCCCACCTGCACTGCCCAGGGTATCTGGGGAGTTGGTGAAGGATGAGTGCCAGGAACTTGCCTGCTGCCAGAGCCCCAGGGAAAGCGCAGATGGGTCCACCTTTCTTGTTGCTGAGCTGGCTGGTGTTTGGAGGCCGCTCTCTGCTGCCAACCTTGTGTGTGTACATGGTCATGAGCAGAAGTCTAAGCCTTATTAGATATGCTCGGAGCAGGGCATTTGGCTCTAAATGTCCCACAGAAGATTTATCACAGACTCGCGGGGCCTGCCGACACTCATGAATCTCCAGACACTGGATTGGGAGGCCCTCCTAGTAGCATAGCTTCTTCTGTCATCTACTTTTACATACAAATGTCATAACTTATTCTGTGTGTGGGTTTGTAGTGTCTGTTTGTGCCGTTTGTTTGCTGCCCAAGTGATAACTTAATAAAAGAGAAAGAGCTCGCAAGGCAAGTCTCCAGAAACTGCGGTCTCGGGCCAGGGAGTAGAGGCACAGAGAGTGGACAAACAACAGCCCTCAGAGCTGCCACTGGGTTACCCTGGGTTCCAAGTGTTACAAACTTCATCTGTGACAGAAACACCTGCCCCAGTGCCTAGAGGAAACCCTGGAGATCCTGGACTCTTCTCGCCCACAGGGCATCCTTTCCTCCCAGTATGTCACCACTAGCTGCCTACTGTTCATGAATGTGAACTATGCAGGCTCTACACCTGGCCGTCTTTCTACCCTTCTTATTCTCTCTGCTCCTATATCCTCGATCCCACCATCTCAGTTCTTCTGCATCTCCATTCTTCTTCTATCTAGGATTCCCTTCCCTTCTTTGCATACCTTGTGAATTAGTCATCCTTCAAGACTCAGGTGGAGCATGCATTCTCTCTTTGGCCCTTCCTGAACAACCCAAAATAAAACTGACTGGCCCCAAAGGTTAAATAAAGAAGGGTATCTGGGGACCCATATTTCAAACTCAGTTATGTAGAGGTTTCTATTATCTATTTTACCTGGAATGACTTTGTAACTTTGATAGACTTGGTTGGAAAGATGAAGAATATACCCCCATTTTCTCTATCATTTGGTTCAAAAACAATGTGCCAAACACCACAACTGCCCGCCCCAAAATACTGTTTCCAATCCATTACATATGTTTGCACCACCCACCCTCGCTCCTCACCAGCTCCTTCCCATAGATTTTTTTTTACCCCAGGCCAGCCAAACCAGTGACGAAATTCTCAAAAGGAGGAGTGAGCAGTGACTTTTGGCATGCTCTTGGTTGTTAGGCTCTTGAAAAAAGGGCAGTAAGTTGTACAAAGGAACTGTGGAGAAGTAAACATCGTGTCTGCTACTGTCATCAGGGCTCTGCATGTTTCTGTTGGTGTTAAGGTCTTGCATGGATCCAGGCGTGATTCCGACTCAAGCATATATTGCCCTGCTGATTGAAATCTTAGGGTCAGGTGTGTCTGTCCTGATTCCAAAGTGGGTCCCTATTCTCTGGCCTGTGCCCAAACTGTCTTTCCTTAAAGAATCAACTTGGCCTTCCTGGAGCTCATACAGGAGGTGGGGGAAAGCATCAAATGTAGGAGGCATGCTTTTAAAGAACCATATTACATCTAAAATGGTAAAAAGAAGAGTCTATGCAAGTTTCACAAAATCTCTTCTATGTCTGCATTTATTTTGTTATATTTAAATGTATCTTCTCCACAGATTTCAAGTTCCTGAAAGCATTGAGTATATCTTCTGCATTTTTGTATCCTCTAGAGAACTTTGCACAAAGGATAAGCCTAATAAATTGTTTGATGGATAGCTTTCTGAGCAGATAAATGGATGAAAGAAAGACAAAGAACCTGTTCTAGAAAAGCAGCAGAAAGGGAGGCAGAGCCATCTGGTTTCACTGCCTTCCAAAGAGTTGAGAGCAAGAAACAAGATCACCCAGAAGTAACTGCATTCTGAAAATGACAGTACTTTAAGTCTTTTAAGGAAAGGCGATGTAGAATAATGGAGTTAATGGAAGAGGAGCAAGAAAGTTATTGTGATAAAGGCTTTCTCTTTAAGATACTTTCTTCACACACATTGTTAACAGGAGAATAGTCTACTCATCTCTATCACCATCAACTTCCTGAGTCCCCTTTCTTGAAGCCTTAAACAAAGCAGTTTCTCTATTCCCTCTGGCTGCTATACTTTTCCCAATGACACCATCTGGGCTTTGTTATGATAGGCCTAATGCAGAGATGCTTCTTAAGGGGCTCAAGGCAGCAGAGAGGCTACTCTTCGTCCTCAGACTTTGCTCTCCCTCAGCTCTGGTACTTACTCTGATCTGTCTCCCCAGAGGTCCCAGGTCTTAGCATCCCCACCAAACTGCATTTGAATAAGGGAACACCTTGGGATGTTCAGTTCACTAATGAAGTCACAAGGGACAAGAAATGCCAGTGTCATAGGAAGAAACAACCTGATATGAGCTTGACAAGATCTGTGTCAATGTCTCCCAACCTTTTTTGTTCTTTGACTTACTTTTGAATGTTTGAATACATGAGCAAGACGCAGAGGCTCAGAGAGTAAGTGCTTGGGAGAGGGCCTGGAAAGGTTTTCAGGTGACTGAGAGAAAAGCAAATCAACAGGAAAAAAGAAGGGAAGGGAGACAAGAAGTCCAAAAAACAAAAAGGGGCAAGGGAGATGTGGTGAAGGAGGAGGCAAAGAAAGGCATCCTGCTTGGCTCTGTCAGTGGACAGACTTTGGCAATGACCTCTTCTGTAAATGATTGTGCTGGCTCTGGTTCCGAGTTGAGAGAAAGGGAGACTCACTTCCATGAAGAAAGGCAGAGCCCTTTCTTCAGTATGAATGTGACCGTTGATTAATTTCTCAACCTTCCCCACTCAACAATGAGCCCACAACTTGTTATAATTATCTTGGTGTCCCCAGCACTGTGTCTGGCCCATGGTTGATGTTTGGCAGATGTTTGTCAAAAGAAAGAAACTAAGAAAAGAAGAGTGGCTTACTTGGAATTGTCTCAAGAGGGATCTCAGTGAGGCAACTCATAATAGGAGTCACCTCAGATGCAGGCTTAGGCATCTCATCACGGACAGCGGTGTTGTGGATACACTGAAGTTTCGATCATTTGTGATAATACCTAAACCCTTTGTCAAAAGAATGAATTTTAGGTGGGCTTTCTTCTCCACTCACTCTTATACAATAATTTTCTACCCCCACTGAAATGCCCGGGCTTAAAGTTACTCAATATTTGAGTGACTTTCAGCAAGTTGCATAACCTCTTTGTGGCTTAGTTTCCCCAGCTGTAAACTAGGACAATAATACTTAGGTCATAAGGTTGCTATGAGGGGCAAATGAATTAGTATTTGTAAAGTGGTCTGAGCTATGCCTGACACATACTAAACATGATGTAAGTGTTTGTCTTAGGTAGTTGTTCAGGAAACACAGATTTGTATTTAGAAATCCTCCTTATGTTTTCTTGCTTTATACCAAAATCCCCTTCTTTGTTTTCAGTTGATTCCTGAGGAAAGGGTCTGGCAAAATGAAAATTAGTTCAACCCACTTCTTGGGCAACAGAATTTTCTCCCTGAACCCCTTCTAAGATCAGGTTCACTTACTGTAGGGAGCACAGCTACCTGCAAGACTCAAACATTAGGGTTCGCCTAGAAGGAAAGGTGCAGTTGGAAAGTCAGGAAATCTGAATTTTTAAGGGCAGAGCCAAGAAACACAACTAATTTCCTTTGGAGAACTATTATATACTTTGTAATAGAAAAACACATGGGATAACTACTACATGCCACCAAATACTTGTCTCATTTAATAGTTATAACTACCCCTCAAAGTGGTGGTTATTTCAGTTTTACAGATG